CTATTTACGGCTTAGTAGTATAAAAATGAAAGTATACACCATATAAGTACTACTATAAATATATATTTCTCCAACATCTTATAGAATTAGCAACTTTTAAAATTACTAACCACTACTTTTCTTAAAGAGATTAAAAATCTACAATATCACTATTACCCACTACGATTAATTATAATACAACTTGATTTCTTAAAATTCCTTAATACTAATAAAGAAATAGATTATAAAGCTATATTTAAACTAGAATAGTGTTAAATAACAGTAATTTATTAAGATGACTTAGCAGTTTTATACGTCTAAATTAGGAAAGGTCAACTTTTTTTATACAAATAAGGGCGGATGAGGGCCGCTCGAGGGCCGCCCTCAGAGGGCGGAGGGTCGGGCGAGGGCTGGTCGTTACCCGCCCTCAGCCCTCGCGGGTCGGGCGGAGGGCGGGAGGTGCCCGCTCTCTAAATGTTTTTAATGAGGTCTATCTATAGATCTAGAAATATAAAAGAAGAAGAAAACTAAAAGCCGGGCTTATAACCTCTAAGAGGCTATAGGGTCGATGGTAGGAAGAAAGATAAAAAGATTAACTGTAAGATATTAAGTAATAAAATTCAATAAGAAAAAGAAATGGAGTATTAATATATCAAGACAGAAAAAACCTATAAAGGATAAAAAACTAACTTATGCCGGGATTTTACCCTATATTTATATTTAAAATCCATGCTTAACATTTAATCTATAAATATATTTAAATAAATAGTTGCATTTGCATTATGGTGCATTTAAACTTAATACTGCTTTTAGATTTTTAATGTTATATATCTAGTCCAATTGTCTGCTTTTGGAACTGCCTGCTTTTGGCATTCATACTCAATTCAATTAGCTGGTTTTTGCATCTGCATGTTTAAATATGATGTAAGTGATGCCTTACTTAGGTGTATACTAATGAGAAAGTAAATATATAAATGACGGGACAGGGCAAGTGTAATTCCGGCTGACATATAGGTAGGAGCAAACAAGGTCATATGACCTTTCAACAGTAACTCTAATAAAAGTCATACCATCCATAACAGAGCAACTTATAAAGAAGTTACCGATCTTTTTACCAACGGTGAGTCTATCCACTTATAACAATTCTTTTTATATAAGGCTATACTGAGTGACACTTCAGCAAATATGGCAGCTTAAAAAAAACATATCATATTTGAGTTGATATCAGTCTTAGGCGCAATCCAAAGTCGATGTCATAAAACATACTACAGACATTCATCATATTCGTCATCATGGTCCAAAGCGGTATTAGCAAAGCAATGTTCATGCCTCTCCATTGCGCAGAAGGTCTATGGGTATAGTCGCCAAAAGCGACATGACCCCAATCCAATCATCACCTCAGACTAAGCAGGCTGACCGGCGGAACTAACTTCTCACGGTGCGGGTGCTGGGGGAGGGGCATCAGGCTTTTTTTCTACTTTAGGACCCCCTTTGCCCCCCCGGCGATTGGTGCCACCTAACATCCACATTGCGAAACTCCCGGGGACATCTGGTCCTCTGGCCTTAGCCTTTTTAGAGCCTAGAGAAAAGGTAAGCGCATGTCTCTGAGGGTGTTTGGAAAGGACATTCTTACCATCTGCTTTCTTCTTTGGCTCGGCAGGTGGATCGGCAGGTTTTGCCGGGGTAGGCTCTGGCGCAGGGGGAGGGTCTTCTTTGGGCTTTTCGGGAATTGGCCACATGTGCATAGTGATAGCCCAGTCAGGCTCGACCACAGTTTCCCAAACCTGCGGGAGGATAATGTCGCCATTCGGACCAATAAGATCATAATGGCCCTCGGCCACGTGAGGTCCAATGACTTCAATATGGAGGAAAGCCTGTCGGATGAGCTCTTCCATTCCCTGTAACCAAAGTTAGAACAAGAAAACGATATGAAGGGAGGAGTTGACGTACCTGCCAGGTAGCACATAGTTCAAATGGAAAACTGAATTTTCTCCCAACAGCGTCCTTGAATTTGATAGGCTGCTTCTTCTCTGGGGGTGGCGGTGGTGGCGGCGGTTCGGCAGCTTTAGCAGCCGCCTCAGCCGCCTCAGCGGCCGCTTTAGCAGCTGCTTCATTAGCCGCGGCCGTTGCTGCTGCTGCCGCCTCAGCAGCGGCTGCGGCAGTGGCTTTCTCCGCCGCCTCCTTAGCCTTTGCGGCATCCTCTGCTGCCTTTTTTTCGGCATCCGCTCGAGCAAGTGCCGCAGCTTCCTGGGTAATCTTCCTATCATGTGCAGTCTGCGCCTCCTGAGCTGCTTTCTCGGCGGCCGCGCGTTCAATAGCCTGCTTTTTGGCAAGCTCTTTCGCTTCGCGGTCTAGTCGGTCATCCAAAATCAACTTCTCTAGCCTCGCAATTTGCTCATCCTTGGCAGTGTCGGCTGGTGGAGGTGGAGGTGGCGGTGGAGGGGGAGCAGGTTCAGGGGCCGGAGCCGGAGCCGGAGCAGGTTCGGGAGCAGGCGTCGGGGGTGGGGGAGATTTAGGTTCGGGTTGCACTGGAGGAGAAGGCACTGGGGGATAGGATGGCCAATAATGAGGAGGCATCATGCCCGGGATCGGTCCCCCGAAATAGCTGGGTTGATCGCGATAGAAACCTGTCGGACCGTAGGCCATCAACTCGTGAGAATATCCAGGGTAAGGGGAGTGGGCCCCGTGAGGACCCATCGCGTGCGGCATTGGCGGCATCGGCTGCATTGGATTGTGTAGCTGAGGCGGCTGGCGAGGCGCATGTCGCGGATGAAGTTGGGGTTGATCGGGAAGAAAATGAGACCCAGGTTGAAATTGAGGTGGGTATCCATAGGGCGGAGGAGCACTGTAGGGGTGGGGTTGGCCATGAGGAATTCTCATGAGTTCTGATGTAATCGGGGGAGGATTGTGGGCATACGGGCCATGGCCCGGGGGAGGCGGAGGGTAGGGAGTGTAAGGTGCACCAGAGGACTGGCTGGGAGTGTATCCAGGGGCGGGTGGTATAGGTTGTTGCCACCCTCTCCGATCATTTCGACCAAAAGTGGGAGGGTACTCGTCGGCGGAATCGGCACTATCGGGAGAATCTGGTGATTGTTGTCTTCGGCCTCGAGGGGCGAACGACTGATGTTCTTGAACCATACGTCGCGATGCTGGGCGACGGCCCGAAGCGGAACGTGAACCGTGGGGCGGACGACTGCGGTGCGAAGTTCTTGGTCGGGAGGCTGAATCAGATGGTTTCAATTCATCCGGATATGGCAAATGCGCCCACTCATCATAATCCTGGTACTCATGACTTTCTAACTCGGAAGATGTAGGGACATGGACACCAGACGAGCCCTCGTCGTCGGAGTAAGAGCGATCCGAGCCGTGGGGGTCTGGATCAATCGAGATACTGAGCCTGGAGAGAAAGAGAAGTGAGAAAGTGAGTTTCTTAAAGAAGGGGTAGAGGGGTGAGATAGGACTGGGTATTGGAAAAAGCGAAAAACAACAAACATACGTCATAGAGACAATGAGAAGTCTCGGGGAATATGAAGATATAATATATCCTCTCACTCTTTCGCATGCGCGAAGTGAGGAGGGAATACCCAAGTAGGGTCTGAGAAGTTGAGAGGAAGAAATATGAAAAAGATCGCGGGGATGTGTTGGATGTGTTTGCGCATGGACTATTTTTCCTCTCTCTTTTTTCCCTCTGTTTCTTCTTATTCTTTCTTTTCTTTTGATCTAACCTCTTTAAAATAAGGATAGAATAAAAAGATAGAATAGAATAAGAGTTAAAAGACAGAAATCAATACCCCTTAAAAGGGATAGGGATGGTATACGAAGTATGTAGAAAACAAGTTCAGGGTATATTCTATGCAGAAACGAAAAAAGAGTAGAAACCAAGAGAAAAAAAAAGAAAGAAGAGCCCTTGTCAGATGTATTGATCTTTTATTAGGCCCGTTGGGCATTTTTTGTGTGATTTTTCTTATGCTTTTTCTCTTTTTTTCCTCTCTCTTTGACACATCTGCTGCCCAAACAAAAATGCCCAATACTATCTCTATACCCTACACTTCAAGTTTACTCCATACAAACACTCTAGAACATATTGGTTTTATTAGGGTCTCAATCAAAAGGCTTACTTTTAAGCCTGAATATTATTTTGGCGATTCAGCAGCTCTTTGGCTGCGATCATCTCACTTCGACTCGATGCCCAATGTTGGTCATCGATTGATCGTGACTCAACAATCTCGCCCAACTTTAGGAGTGCAAACGCCTTCAATCTTTCTAGTGTCTTCTTAGGAAGTTGACCTGATATGCCTGCGTAATCATTGTCAAGCATCCGAGTTGAGGCCTACCGGGGGACCCCTGGGTTAGAATGAAATGTGTCAATATCATCGTTTGTTGACTTACCAAAGTTAAACCATAGAATCCTCGCAAGTAGTCATCACAGAGTTCAATGCTTCGACTGAAGTGTTGCACCGACCTCCCAAGGAGCTGGGATGCGTCCCCATCGGAGGCGCAGATGTATAGCAGTTCACCGAGGCGCGAATGAATCTTACATTTTCACGTTAGTGACCGTAATCTCAAAAATAAAAGTAAAAACAGAAAAGGGAATGATATGCATACATTCCAAGAGTTAGGAGCGATGAGTAAAGCCTCCTCGAGGCTAAAAATGGCTTGGGGACCCAACCCCTGTGACTGATACAAGTCGGCTAGTTCACACCAGGCTTCGGCATCGGTAGGGATGGCATCGAGGAGTTGAATAAGACCGGAGATTGCGTCAGATGGTCGGTTGAGCGAGCGTAACAACGCTACCCGGCGCTTCAGGATGGGCTGTGTATATGGTTAGTCTTGCATAATCCATAATCACCCCCAGGCCTGGGACCAATACTGACCACGTTCACCGGACTCTGTGACAGGGTGTTGTCGTATTCCTGCAGGCATTTTTCTAGCGCCAACTGATCCTTGGCGGTTGCCTCCTCGTACAAGCCTCGAAGCCCCATAATCCGTTCATTAGAGGGTCCAAACCGGAGGTTGAGACGATTCAGGCAGGTGTGTGCTGACTGGTCATCTCCCGTCCGAAGACAGGCTAACAGAAGCTGCTCTAACCGTGCATAGTAATCTGCGGTTTCTGAAGAATTGGATGAGGTAACGCCAGACCTGGATTCCTGGAGAATTGCTGGTGCTTGTTGAGCAAGATGAAGAGCAGAGATCAGATCCGATCCGCTGATCTCGTGAATATCAGCGACGGGACCAGGCATAATAGACTGTCTAAAATGATATAGCTTCAAAAGACCTTCAAAAAGAGTTGCGAGTCGAGAGCAGGGGTGATCCAATTAGGAAGTTGAGAGAACAGAGTACACCAGAGCTTAATTGGCCACAGTCCCGTGATCCGATCTCTTATCGGGGATCCCCCAAACGCCAACTCTCCACCCCGCGGAGCTCGGGTTGCTTGCACTTACATCTTTCAACTCGTTCTTGAACTATGGCTAATCTGACAGCCCAACTTATAATGCATCTCCAGTCTTACTAGGGGGCTTCATTGTTCTTCTTCTCTTGGCTCGAGCTTGTGACGAGTGATAGCTCCAACACGATGTGGGCACCCTCGTGTTTCTTCCCTGGATTGGGCGCTAATTTCTAGTGCCATAGGTTCGAGAAATCACTTTATGACCTTATAAAGGGTCTCCGGGGCCATAAGGGAGGTGAAAATGAATACATCCAGAGTTGCTTGCGTGAATGCAAGGCCGAGATCAAAACACAAGATATGGGTACTAAACTCCCACGTACTCACCCGGCAATGGACTTGATGCTGATATTAAGTAGACAAAAAGGCTACAGCCCTCTTGAAGCTTATCTATCTTGAAATGTTTGGGTATGACATGTCATGGGCATCTTTTCACGTTCTCGAGGTCATGTCATCCGCCAAATACCTCCAGAAAAGAGTCGGGTATCTCGGAGCAGTCCAGAGCTTTCGACCGGACACGGAAGTTCTGATGCTGGCTACTAACTTGCTGAAGAAGGTTCGTACTTTGCATGGCTTCAAATTCCCTTTAGTCGCTAATGCGCTTCACAGGATATTGTCACCTCCAGTATTCCCAACATGTTACTCCCTCTGATTACTTTGCCGCACATTATTACACCTTCGCTAGCAATGTCCTTGCTTCCTGATATACTCTCCCGACTTTCACACTCAAGCCCTGTGGTGCGCAAGAAAACAATTGTCTGTCTCTATAGGCTTGCCTTGGTGTATCCCGAAGCTCTGAAGTTGGCATGGCCCAAGATAAAAGACCATTTGATGGACGACCAGGAAGATGGAAGCGTCACTACTGCGGCGATCAACGTAGTTTGTGAGCTTGGTTGGCGACGACCTCATGACTTCCTCCCTCTGGCACCTAGATTCTTTGAGCTTCTGGTTGACAGCGGCAATAATTGGATGGCTATCAAAATCATCAAACTTGTTAGTCCACTATGCAACCAGATCCCATGGAATGATTGTCTTCTGAGCACCCTCTGACTTGTCTAGTTTGCAACATTAACCCCACTAGAGCCAAGGCTGACTCGCAAACTCCTGCGTCCATTGACGAATATCATCCAAACCACATCCGCAATGTCTTTGCTTTATGAATGTATCAACGGCATCATCCAAGGGGGGATTCTGGACGGAGAAGACAATCTCCAGGAAAGGGACGAAGTTGCCACTCTTTGTGTTGGAAAATTGCGGGGCATGATACTCATGGATAGTGACCCTAATCGTGAGCATGTTTTCATCGCATTTCAATATATGATCGCTGACCGTCGGGGCAGTCAAATATGTTGCACTTCTTGCGTTGAACCGCATTGTTGCCACGCACCCAACGTTGGTTTCCATGCAGCAGGACGTCATTATGGATTGTCTGGATGATGCGGACGTTTCTATTCGATTGCAGGCTTTAGATCTTGCCGTTGGAATGGTCAGCAGTGATTCTCTCCAGCCGGTCGTGAACCGTCTATTAGATCAGCTGCAACAAGCTTCTGCCCCTGCAGCCGAATTGGTTGATACGCCCCAAACCTCCGAAAGCCCTAAAGTCCCGACCTTATGGCCCAACGACTACCGAACTGAGGTCGTCCACCGGATCCTAGACCTTTGTTCTCAGAAGAACTACTCTGAAATTGTTGATTTTGAGTGGTATGTCGCTGTGTTAGTCCAGCTAGTCGGGCTTCTCCCACCGTCTGAGAGTGAAGACGATTGGAGTCATCCGAAAGAGCAAGAGGCTATGCCCAATTTGAGGATGAACGCTGCGTTTCGTATAGGGACAGAAATTCGCAATGTTGCTGTAAGGGTAAAAGGTGTGCGCATGGAGGCCACAAGAGCAGCCGAGTCTCTCATGTTTGTCGACAACAGATCAACTTTTTTCCCTTCCGGTTCAACTATCGGCGATGGTGTTTTAGGCCCCATCGCCTGGGTTGTCGGTGAATATGCTGAATGTCTACTTTCGCCTAACCGGACACTGCTGTCATTGATTGACATCTCTAATGCATCGCTTCCCTCCACAACTCTTCCCCTCTTTTTGCAAGCCATTCCAAAGGTGTTCGTTCAGATTAGCCAGACCAGCCAACCAGGAGATCTTTGGAAAAGTGAGATCTCGCTTTTGCTTGCTCGAGTCATTGAGTTCCTCGAGGGTTTGGCGGCCCATCCTGATTTGGATGTCCAAGAGCGAGCCATCGAGTTCCTAGAAGTCCTCCGCCTAGCAGCTGAGTCATTGACTTCCGATACACAAGAAGTCCCATTTCTTCTCGCCTCGGTCATACCAAACCTATTTACAGGGCTCGAACTCAACCCTGTTGCGACCAGTGCCCAGAGGAAGGTTGTCTTGCCGGATAGCCTTCACCTAGAGGAGCCATTCAGTCACGATCTGCCAGGGCTTTTCCGCAACCTGGGCGACCTATCACCGCACGAGTCAAAGTCTTGGGAGACGTCAGACTTCTATCATCTTCCTGAACTCTCGTCTCCTAACAAGCAGACTCGTGATCCCGCACCGGTTGATTTGCAGCCTCATGCGTCGTATCAAAACTTTACCGGTGCTCCGGTGGAACCCCCTATTGCAGTACAAAGAAGAATGCTGGAGCGTAGGGAACGCTTCAAGGACGACCCCTTCTATATTGCTCCTTCCGGAGAGTCATCTGGCACGTCTACGCCATTCCATGAAGCTCTGAACACATCCAATGGCGAGGTCCTGGACATTGATTCCATCCCCATAGTTGACTTGAAGTTGGGAGATGAACAACTCAGCCATGATTTCGATCGCCAAAGAAGTCGTCGACCGCCTGTGAGGAAATTGGTAGTTACTGGCGATGAGACCTTTGAAACCCCAAACTCCTTGGCAGACACCTCCAGGCCCAAGGGTGGTGATGACCACCCTACGTATAAGCGCTCTTTACTCCAAGTGGACTCGAGCAGCCTAGGAAATTTGTCCTTGGCAAACGGCCCTTCCCCCCAAGTTTCCGCGGATGAAGGGGACAGAGAAATGGCTCGAGCAATGCAA